TCAAAACATTATTAAACTATTTCCCCCAGGACATTGGAAATTGAAATCATATTTTAGCTCTACTGTTTATAGATTTCTGTGGCAGCTCAGTGATTCTTTCTTAAAGATACTCTTGGGTATGACAGTGAATTTTCTAGGGATTACAATCCCTAACAATCACAGTGTATGGTCCTAGGGAAAAGCGCCGAGCACCGCCAGAATCTGAAACATGGCCTAATGGCAATCGACTGTGTGGGTTCTGTGGGCTTATGGCTTCGATGTTTGCTTTGCAATCGCCACGCCACGCAATGCCTCGACCGAAAACACAAACACAAACACAATCAATATGGTCGGCTGACGCGGGTGACACACAGCACTGGCAATAATTTTGCCATAATTGCGCACAGTTGACCACACGAAACATCGTAGCACAAAGTGTGTGTTGCCTACCCAAAATCTCCAATCTGGGCAACAAAGTGCATTTTCCCATCAAATCCAGACACTCACACATACATACACACACACATGATGGCACCTTTATTGGTTGTGCACAAATAGAAAGATTTAAGGGCAGACAGACGAGCAGGAAATCAATGTGATGGCAAGTCAGCGAAGCTATCTCAAAGCTAGGAGCTGAGAAATCCATTTGCTCTTGGAAATCGCATTGAAAGGCAAATATTTATAACTCCAGAGCGACTCAAAGAACACTCTTTCTCGGTGATTGCCCCGAGTTTGCAAAGCGCATATAAAATCAATTCGAGGAGTTTGTTCGCGAGGGCCAATTCAAGGAGTCCTCGTGGGCATTACCTAATTAATATGCCTCCCCTCAAGGGAGCATCCATCCATGTGTGTGCTTTAGCGGCCCAGAAGTGAGGGTACAAGGGGGCTAAACAAGCAATTTGTTTGTCTTAAGCCGTTTGGAGAGCTTAATGGGGAGCGTGGGGATCAAACAATAGCTGCGTAAAGAATAAGGAGCAAACACATATGCCGTAATGAGGGGGAACGATGAACACAGGCCATGCCAATTAAATTAAATGTAAACTCGCGTTATTCGACAGCGCCAAATTGGGCTTTGAATTTTCGCAATTTCCCTCGTTTGTCAATTTTAAGCAAGCAGCATAATTGCATACTTTTGAGGGCATTGACTCGTGAGTCTAAGTCAACAGATGAAATTTTCCAGCAAAATGTGTCACAATTTGCATTCGCCTAGCTGGCAAACTTTTATCATTTCGCACAAAACTTTGCTGGAAATCCCTGCTCATTACCGTGAAATGAGCTGTCGGCTCTAGATATATTTATTTTGGCAAGTTTCTTAAAGGTAATCTAGCAGTCTTTGCACAATCTTTGGCTTTGTACCTGTTAAACCAAATAAAATCAAACAATATTTAAAATTAAAGTCAGACCCCCTACCGTAGTTCCCTAAAATAGATGCTCTAAAAACCTCTAGTGATATGATTTAGAGACTTAAATAATAATGTCAGAAAGTATAGTAAATGTTTTAGGACTTCTTTTTAGAGACATTTTTTTTTTTGGCATCCTTATATATTTAAAGAAACTTTGGGGACATACCACTTAAGACCTAGCTTTTGGAGTAAGTTTCCCTATGTAGTAAACGCAGCTCGACTAACATTAAGCCTTGTAAATACCGCATAACAGCTCATTAACACACGCACACACACACACACAAACACACACAAACACATACACATACACACATGTTTACCCAATCGTATACTCTCACTAAAACCAATATTGACACTCAAATCAATTTAATTGAATTGAATTGAATACCACCCACACAACACAAAACGAAACAAAACAACAATTCTATGTCTCACTCTCTGTTTTGTTTGATTTTGCTTGCACGTCATGGGCATAAATGGACTTTTTCGCACACTGCATCTCTTTCTCATCGCTACAATGCCTTCTCTTTCTCCGGAACAGCGGGCGCAGGTGGCAGCAACGTGCACGAATTGGACCCCAATACGAACGTGAATAGCCAGCCCTCCGACACGAAGGGCATCGATCACAGGCCCAACGGCAACGAAGTGGTCATCATGAGCGAGGACGATCGCACGTCGAGCTTCTTCTCGCAGCCCGGCATTCTGGCTGGTAAGTATATCTATATCTATAGGGTGGATTCTATAAACCTTGGGAAATTCCAAAACTTTATTACTAAGGCTTTAAATATTCAAAATTGTTTGTCAGATGATATTTTTTTAATTTAAACCAAATCAGTTACTACAGCAATACTATTTAGTGAATATCACTAATACGCCATGTTAGACACCATTATTATTAAAATATTAATAAAGACCGAATTTTTTCGTATCTACCACAAAATATTGCAAGCTTTCAGCTTTACTTATTTGTCAATAACCTAATGTTAAAAATAAAATACAAAATTTGTAATCGAGCCGTAATTTTCGTACTTTTATCATCACTGCGTATGAGTGATATATCTTAAAACTTAAACATATATCTTAAAACTTAACATATAATGCAATTCAAATAATAATGTTAAGTGAAAGAGAAGAGAAAAACCCAGAAAATACTCAACATGTAAAAGGCTTTAGAGTTCAACTTCTATGTTAAGATTCCCCTGATAAACCTTTATGTATGAAAAATCAGAATACTTAACTATTTCCCCTTTCCACAGCTGTTATTGGCGGCGCCGTTGTTGGCCTGCTCTGCGCCATACTCGTGGTGATGTTTATTGTGTACCGCATGAGGAAAAAGGACGAGGGATCCTATGCGCTGGACGAGCCCAAGCGATCGCCGGCCAACAATTCGTATGCGAAAAACGCGAATAATCGCGAGTTCTACGCCTGAGATAATGGTACGGCGCGCAGGTATTAAGTTGACCCATAGTGCAGGCAAAAAACTGTGAGGACGAGGGTGCGGAAAAATGGACGCAGGCGGAGCGACTGGGAATGGTTAGGCTCAACTGAATACACTGTGCGAAGTGGAAGTGCACCATCATCAGCGATCCACTAAAACAAGGATAGTTCATCCGCAGCAGCAGCTACAAAACTAACACAAAAAACAATTGAAAATTTCTACCGTTTTCAAAAAAAAACACACAATTTTTCGTGAGGGGTAAATAAAACTAAAATAAACAAAAAACAAATCGACAAAATAATAACGAAACAAAAACAAAAAAAAAAAAAAGGAAAACTTACCTGTAAGTTAATGCAATACACACACACACACAGACAAACAATCGACTCTCTGCGTGTGTGAGTGTGTGTATGCGACTTTTCTAATTAAGTAAGTTTTAAGAGACAAAAACAAACAAAAATATCAAATATAATTGCAAATAAATCATGCAAAATTTAATATATAAATAATATATTATATATAAATAGTGAAACCAATATAAGGGCGGGCAAAATTAAGAAAATTAATTATGAATTACGAGTATGTAGAGCAAAAGCTGAAAAAGCGGGAGAAAATTGAATAATAATAACTATAATAATACACACACACACACACGCGCATCCAACTACATAGATGTAAAAGGCAACTTTCGTGCATATTGAATATAGATGTATGCATTATATATGTTAGCTGAATAACGAAAGCGAATTGGATACATCACGATTATCTCTCAACTCTCGGTAGACCCCTCGTCGAACCACACACTCTTAACTCTTTATTTTAACAACCAATTGTCAAACGAAGTCCAATGAAAATAATTATAATTATAAATTGTGCGGCACATAACAAACGGAAATCGATGCATAAATGTTTTTAAGTTATACATAAGCAAAACTATGTAATTATTAGTGTAATTCCTAAAACAAACAAAACAAAAAGAAAACAAAAAATGAAAAATACTAAATCAAGCAAAACACAGATTTATGGACACTGTGAACCTTCCTGGAACCTAAAAAAAAAAACAAACAGAATTGAAATTGGAAGAACTATTTCTACTTTTTTCTAGAAAACACAAAACCATGAATATTTATTGAAAAGAATTTGAAATTGAAATTGGAAAACGAAATCGAAAAGTAATGGAAAATCGTCAATAAGAAAGCAATTGTACATTAATTTAGATTTCCACTTGGGTTTTAGAGTTATTCGAGATTTCCTTCGCTTGAATTAACTGCTTCTTCCATGGCTAAGAATCAAAATCGGATTAACGCATTAATTATTGTGCATTTATTTAGTTTTTACGTTCGCTGTCAATGACAATTGTTTAGTTTTGCAAGCAAAATACAAACGCGAATTAGAACGAAAACAACAACAGCAACAACAGCCACAGATAATAACCACATGCAATAGTGAAAATTAATTGTTAAGTTTACATGGCAAAATCATTTGAAACGAAAGCAGTCCAGCAACAAAATGTTATACTCACCCCCACACCCACGCCCTCACATAACCAATCAATTAGCTGCAATACTTGTTTAATTGTTAGTCAACCAATATTCTCTCTCCAACTCTCATGCCATATTTTCATTGCGAAAAGAAAGTTATGAAAAAACGAAAACTAATATATAACATATAAGTATATAATTAGCAACATAAATCAATTGTGTGTGTAACTGTGTATAATGCATAAATAATGAATTAAACATACTACTACTTTGACAGCAGAGCATATAACAATGGGAAATTTCGAACATCATCAGAACAGAAAACTATTTTCCCCCTTCCAAAATCCAAAAAGAAACTTACACACAAAAACACACACACACGATGCAAACAAACACGAGAACATGAACAACAGCCGCAGTAGCAGCAGCAGCAGCAACAGCAACAGGAACTAAAACATTTTTCTGAACACAACATTTTCTACACTGTAAAAAACGCAACCGCAACTTTTTTGATATGTACACGTACTATGTTTGTTCTACTCTCGACCCATAGTACGTTTTGTCAAATTTTACATCAACTTTTTTTGCTACTTTGTAAGCGTTTAGTTTGTTAGTTTTTTAAAATGCGCTGAATGTACTGAGAAATTGGTTTTGATTTGCTAAATAAAACTGGTATAAAACTAATTTAAACAAAACATCTCGATTTCTTTTCTGTATTAGTTTTATATCCACATGACTTGGTCGTGTTTGCTTTACAGATTAGCTTTCATTAGGGGCTTCAGGTAAGTCTCAAAGGATTTTTGAACGGGCTTTTGGTTCATGGTGCTGCGCTTGGCCGAATCGAAGAGTCTTGGATAAACATTGCCATCGTAGCTGCCCAAAACAGAGTTGAGAACACGGTCGTGGAACCCAAAGCCATCGCATATGGCCACCGCGTTAGGTCGGAACTTCTCCAACGAAATCTCCAGGCGTTTTTGCAGCGACCTCAAATCCTCATCGCTGAGGCTAATGAACTGGTTGCAAACAAAAAAATTAATAAAAAATTAATTTATAGGAATAGAGCAGAAAACTTACTCTCAAAATATCGTTGAGGTTATTGAGCACAGTCTGGACCAGGAACAGTTCGAGGACATTCTCCAAAACTTTGTTGAGAGCCGGGGAACGCTTTTGGGCCTTGGCACCTGTGATTTGCTCTAGGAATGTCTGGCACACAAACTGTCGGCCATGAAGCTAAAAAATTGGTTGATAAAGTCTGATTAATTAATATCTTTACACACTTTTAATAAAATGTCTTTTAAATTGACTATAATCGAATCACTATTTAAATCTTTTTCTTGACTTTTATTTGATTTAACTAACCTCAGCAGCACGAACAAGCTCAATGCCCGTGTTATTAGCCGCCACACCCTGAGATTGACCGCTGGCCATGCGTTCCGCCAAGTTCTCGAAGGCAATGCGGGTTTTCCTATAGGAAATTATATTTAAATTTTCTTTAAAATTGCATTTTAAAGCCAAACTTACTGTGCTGCCGTGTACTGCAACGCCTTGATAATGCACTGCCAGGAGTTGTCCCACTTGGGGAACTCTTTTAGCTGCATGGAGCTGGCAAAGTAGCTGTACGATGCGGACACCGGTTTCTTTTCCACAAAAGAGGCCCAGGCCTTGACCAAAGCACGTCCAATCTGGAGAAGTAGCACTGTGTTCTCGCCCTCGTAGGTGTATGCAGCCACAGCGTTTCCATAGATATTGCTCAAGTTTGCTGCCGTGAGGTAACCATGTCCTCCAGTTGAGAGCCGCAGTCGCTCAATGCCGGCACAGCCGTCTGTGGTGCAAAGAACCTTCAGGGCGCAGGACAGGATGTGCATGTCGGGCAGACGATCGAACTTGCCATTGTTGGCCTCCTGCACCGTCTGGGCATATATCTCCCACATATACTCGGCGGCCAGGTGATAGGCCATTCCGCTAGCGATCTCGGGGAAGAGCTTCAGACGCTGGGTAACATGATCCATGATCTGCGGCTCGGGTTGGCTGCACATTAAATGGTTTTAGGGAATTTCTGTAATAATAAAATAAACTACTGAGATACTCACTTGGGTTCGATGGGACTCTGCCGCCGAACAGCCGAGTACCGGGTGGCAATGGTGGCCGCCTCCAAAAGCAGCGTGGAGTTCAGATTGACAATCAGGCAGCGGGTGAAGACCATGGTCAGGTAGTTAAGTCTCGATGCCGGACTGGCTTTGAAGGTGCCATCTCGCTCCACCTTGGCGAACTTCATCAGCATGTTGGTGCGCGGAATGCGAACTTGGTTCAGTCCCAGGAAGCCCTGATTCACGGACACCATGCCGAGTTTCTTGCCAACCTCACCAATATCGATTCCCGGCAGTGGCATATGCGTCTCGGCATCTCGCACCGGCACAATGAACATTTGTACACCATGATGAGCATCAGCAATATACAACTGAGCCACCACCATGGCATGATTGGCAGTATGTCCCACTATTGGAGTAAAACAGGAGAATTAAGTAAGGAGAATGGTGGTTTCTAAATTTGAATCACTTACAGCCGCCAGGCCACCACTTGTAAGCCTCCAAGTTCGGCGTATTCAGCACAAACTCATCCGTTTGGGGATCAAAGTCCGCCCGTGTGGCAATCCCACGGACATTGGTTCCATGGGCCAGCTCCGTCTGGGCATAGGTGCCAATAATGTTGCAGTTCTCCGCCGCCTTGCCCCACTTCTCCACCTGTTCGGGGGTTCCCTGTCCCTTGATCACATCCACGAACATGGTGATGTGAGTGGACACCGGATGATTGGCCGGAAAGAGTCCATGGCTCTGTACACTGAACAGCACTCCGCTGCCAGCACATAGAGATAAGAAGTTGGGGCAATCCAATTTTACACTTTGGCCGTTTATACTCACGGCCAGATATCGTTGCCTCCGGGATTTAGTTTGTTCTGCAGTGCCTTCAGTTTGGTAGCAGCCTCAGCCACCTTCTTCACACTCGAATTGTAGACTTCCTCGTGGGACATGTACTCATGGTCCAGGCCATAGCCATCCTCCAGATCACTGAAGATGGCCTTCTCTTTTTATAAAAATATAGAAGTTCAATAAAATAATAATATTTGCTAATTTAAAAGAATTAAGAAAAGGAAACTATTTAACTAGTTTGCATAATTATTGAACACTGATAAAAAGTGTTTATATATAGATTGGAACTGTTGTTATCACCTGGGGGTTTGGATGAGCCCCTTTGAGCTGATAAGAAACCTAATCATTGCAACTTCAAATTTTAATTCAGCCGTCCAACAGTGTTTAATTATTCTTGGACTTTGCGGCCATTAGCTAAACTCTTTGGACCCTGACTATCTTATTGGCCAATAAGGGCCAAAACCGTTGCCATATCACGTACATATGCCGGTGTGGGTCTCTTCTGATAAGTGATATACTTTGATATTTACCAATTTCGCGTTTGGTCTTTAGCTTGTCCTGACCACCCTGCCACCAGGCTGCAAACTCCTCCACATCGAACTCGGCTCCCGTGCGTTCTTTCTGAAGATCTGGATTCACTGTGTTTGGTATTAATTTCTTGATGTGCGACATTGTAATAACAAATTAATTTGTAAACTTAATAGCTTTCCAAGACCAGATCCAACCAACAGCTGTGAGCTCAACACTACCTCTGAGCGAAAATGAATTCAACGGCGAAAAGGAAAGCTTTTGGAGGGGCAAAGTGCACATGAAAGCTTTTTTAAGAGAGAAAGCTGATCGTCACAACTTAACCAAGAGTAAACTTTCATGTTTAGCGAAAGAATTTAGATTATGAAGATTATATTACTCGAGAACACAATTTATAAAATAATAACAAAACAAGCTGTATTCAGTTAAAGAGGAGAATATATTATAAACAGTTTTATTTACAAAATCATAACAAAAAAGACTGGGCATGTACAAAATCAATACATACCGGGTATAAACATTAACATAACCCAAAATCTAGTTCAACACTAGATAATGGATTTACAAATGACTTAAAATTGGTGCTAGGCACTACATATTGGACTTCATGAAAGGTTTCAGGAGTTCATGGAAGGACTTTGGCACTGACTTCTGGTTCACCGGGTTTTTGAGAGCCGCATCGAAGATACGCTCATAGGCATTGCCATCGTAGGAGCCCAAAGTGGAGTTTAGTTGGAGGTCACTAAAGTCGAAGCCATCCACAATAGCCACAGCATCGGGTCGCAGTTTGGTGAGCACCGTTTCCAAACGATCCTGCAGCCGCGTGAGATCCGTATCGGTCAGTTCAACAAACTGGAAAGCGGAAAATTTTGTATTTGAACATACTTCAATAATCTCTAGCTTACCCTAAGTAGATGGCCCATTTGATTAAGTGTCTCCTTGACCAGGTACAGCTCCAGAAGGTTTTCCAAAACTCGATTGAGCGCCGCTGAGCGGGTTTTGGATTTGGGTCCAGTCACTTCAGCGGTGAAAGAGCCGAAAACAAAGGCGCGTCCATGGAGCTAAAGGGCAACAAAATGTTGAGATTTTTGAAAAACAGAGTTCAAAGTCCAAGATATGTTAGCCAACCAACCTCGGCTGCTTGGGTGAACTCAATGCCCGTATGATTAGCCGCATTCCCTTCGGTCTCGCCCTTAGATAGTCGGTTGGAAAGGCTCTCAAAGGCCACACGTGTCTTACTGCAATTGAAGACAAGTTAACAAAGGTTGAAATTGGTAAAAAGTTAGCAGCACTTACTTAGCAGCTGCATACTGCATGGCCTTCACCATGTTTTCCCAGCTGCCTGTCCATTTGCCAAACTCCGGATTTTTTTGCACCTCGGCCAGATAGCGAACGGTGGGCGCCAACGGAGCTCCACTCAACGCCGACCGCCAGGTCTTCATCAAAAAGCGACCAATCTGCAGCAGCAGTACTGTGTTCTCGCCCTCGTAGGTGCAGGCTGCGCTGGCATTTACGTAAATATTGCTCATGTTGGACGAGATGAGGTACCCGTGGCCGCCACATGCCAAACGCAATCTTTCCACGCCAGCGGCAGAGTCCATTGAGCAGGTTACTTTTAGAGCGCAGGACAGGGAATGCAGCTCCGGCAGGCGCTCATACTTTCCGTGTTCTATATCCTCAATGGTCACATCGTAGAGGTTCCATAAGTAGTCACTGGCCAGCCAATGGGCCAAACTGGTGGCAATCTCCGGGAAAAGCTTCATTTGCTGAGTGACGTGATCCATGATCTGGGGCTCACGTTCCCTGAAAATGAATTAAGGGCTCGTTCATTCGCATTATATATACCTTGGCAAAAACTCACTTGGGATTTATGGGACTTTGGCGTCTGACAGCCGAGTATCTAGTGGCAATGGTGGAAGCGGCCGCCAACATCAACGAATTATTTTTGGCAACTAGACAGCGCGTGCGCACCATGGCAAAATAGGTAAGCACATTCGTGGGACTGCTAACATAGGATCCATCGGCATTGACCTGGGCATGTCGCATTAGCATGCGAGTCCTTGGTATCCGCACATTCTTAAGGCCCAGAAAGCCATTGTTAACCCCCCAAAAGCCCATCTTCTTGCCAATGTCACCGATGTGAACGCCAGGCAGTGGCTCGTGGGTCTCCTCATCACGCACCTGTATGAAGAACATATGCGGGCCCTTGGACTTGTTGTCGATATACAGCTGAGCCATTACCAAACAATAGTTGGAACTGTGACCCACTGAAAATAGTGAGATAAGATTGGTTATATGTTAGATAAAGGTAGGCCAAAAAGCTTACATCCGCCAGGCCACCACTTGTAGGAGGAAATCGACGGTGTGTTGAGCACAAATTCATCTGTCTTGGGATCGAAATCAGCCCGGGTTTCCAGTCCGCGCAGATAGGTTCCATGGCCCAGTTCCGTTTGAGCGTAGGTGCCGCATATCTCGAAGCGTTCCAGTCGCTTGCCAAAGTCCTCGTACTGCTCCGGAGTGCATTGAGCCTGCAGAGCTTTCACCAGCATCACATACATTACGCCAAAGGGATTGCCGCCGGGCACAAGACCCCACATCACTTGGTGATCGTACAGTTTCCTGGATAATTATCGTATTAAGCCAATAAGAATGGTTTATAATGCATATGAAGAAGGAACACTAACGGCCAGTAATCATCGCCGCCAGGATTACGCTCTTCCTGCAGACGTCGCAGCTTTTTGGCCACCTCAATGCCTCCCTTCACGGAGAATTCGACGATCTCCTCGTGCGATTTGTTCTGCAATTGCAACATCTCCAGCACATCCACATCCTGCTGCATATATGCACCTATTCGAGATGAAAAACAGCAAAGTCAGCATGACCCACTGAAGTTGTTTTTCGCTGATTAGAGCGACTATTAGATTTATGGACTTACGAACGCCGCGGATGAACTTTAGAGTCTCCTCGCTTCCGGCCCAAAAGGCCGCGAATTCTTCGCTGCTAAAACTCGCTCCATCGCGTTCCTTTTGCAGATCGGGATTAACGGAAGTGGGAATAACGGAATTGGCCATTATTATGTGATATGTAGAAACCAAACTGCGGACTTCGGACTGCGCGCCAAGAGAACCGATCGCGAAATGAGCTCCCAACCGCCAATACCACTCAATAAGTAAAAGTGAAAACGGTCATCAAACTTTGTAAACTTCGCTCTTCCGTTTCGACGAGAGCTTTAGCTTCAGTGGTAACTGGGTTTTTATGGCATTGGTGCCACCCTTATCTCGGTAGTCGCTTGATCATAGTTCAAATCTTCATGGTTTATTTGCTTAGCGCGATTAGTAACTTGTTGAAAAAGATTAATAACTTTTTAAGATTTCACAGATTTTAGAACTAGAACCAGATTAGTAAACTGATAACATGTTTTAGATCACTTTTGATCGTCCCTAACATAGAATATCGATAAAAAGAGTTGTTAAACCTTAAAGCTTCGAAAAACGTATATTTTCTACTTTTCAATTTAATAATAGAACTGTTTTCTTCGTTTTTATTTTATTTAATTTTGAATCTCTAATTTTAATTTAATAATGACCCAGGTTTCTTATTTTTTTTAGTTTTGAATATCTAATAATCTTTAAAAGTATTTAACTGTTAACTATCAGCACTGTTAAGTCTTAAGTAACGTATCTGTTAATTAACATAATGCTATCGGTTTCCTGACTATCGAAAGTCTACCACCTCAATTGATTTGTTTTGTTTTGGTAGGACTTTACAGTTTATTTTAATGACTTTTGCTGCCCAAAAATGCCCATAAACTTTAATATTGGTCTGCTTGGACATGTGGATAGCGGAAAGACCACTTTGGCCAAGGCTTTGAGTTCGATTTCCAGCACGGCAGCCTTCGACAAAAATCCCCAGTCACAAGAGCGCGGAATCACATTGGATTTGGGCTTCAGTGGACTTTTGGTGGGTGATTCTACGAGTTTTCCTGAAGGCGAGCAACTCCAGTTCACCTTCGTTGACTGTCCCGGCCATGCAAGTCTCATACGCACTATTATAGGAGGTGCTTACATTAATCTGCTTTAATCTGTTTATTAATCATCTCCAATTGTAGGAGCCCAGATCATTGATCTCATGCTTCTCGTGGTCGACGCCCAGAAAGGAATCCAAACACAGACGGCAGAGTGCCTGATTATCGGCGAGTTGCTGCAGAAAAAATTGATTGTGGTAATCAATAAAATAGATGCTTATCCAAAGGATCAGAGGGACTCAAAGCTGGTGAAGCTCCGTTTGCGTCTTTCAAAGACTTTGGCAGACACCAGGTTTGGTGGCAAAGTGCCTATCTATGCAGTGTCTGCTCTAGAAGGAACCGGCATCTCTGAGTTGCGAAACGGATTGAAAGAGACCTTTTTCCAGCCGGAAAGAAACGTTACTGATCCATTGCTGATGTACGTTGATCACTGTTTTGGAATAAAAGGTCAGGGAACCGTCTGCACGGGCACCATCCTCCAGGGAAAAGTTCAGGTGAACGATGTGATAGAGCTGCCAGCCCTTGGCGAGCAAAGGAAAGTGAAGTCAATGCAGATGTTCCGCCAGAACGTGTGCAGCGCCTCAATGGGAGATCGAATTGGCCTCTGTGTGACCCAGTTCAATGCCAAGCTGATGGAACGCGGTGTAATTGCCCAGCCAGGATACCTGAAACCCATATACGTTGTGTGCCTGCAGCTCAAACCGATACGCTACTACAAACAGGCCATCAAATCCAAGAGCAAACTACACATCTCAGTGGGACATGACACTGTAATGGCAAGTGTGACTTTGTTTAGGGATGAGGACAACTTATCACCCAAGTTTCAACTAGACAAAGAGTACGAGTATGTGGAGGAAGTTCAGCCTGCCGAGATGCAATCCACTGAAGTGATCTTCGTCCTGCTACAGTTTGAAACCCCTGTACTGATGCCTCCAAATGTAACACTAATTGCCTCCAAACTGGACATGGATGTCCATAGTAGTAGCTGCCGTTTGGCCTTTTGGGGACGCGTCGCGTGGCAGACGCAGAGCTCCAACTTCATCCAGGAGGAGCTGCCAAAACTCCACATCTTCAAGCGGAAACAGAAAGTTGGGAGTATTCAGCGAGTGGTGAATGCCAAAGAAGTGATTGTTCAAAATCTTTTCAAGAAAGAGGCCAAACGTGAGCTGTACGTGGGCAAGTTGGTGGAGCTGTCGTCCGGACAAAAAGGTCGCATTGATCGTACATTTGGACAGACCTCAAAAGTGTCAATTACTTTGCAGGATGCTCTGTCGCCCGAAACAGTAACCAATGTCAAGAATGTACAGGTTTTACTTAACTGTAAGAAGTATGTATTCAATAAACAGGCGGGTCTGTTTCAATAACTGGAGTGGTACTTTAAATTGCGCAAAAAAACGCAAAGAGTATTAAAGTTAACAGTGCGGAAGAAATGGAGTGTTATTTTTTAGGGTGAACATTTGTCTAAGTTTGAATGGCGTTAGAGATGAAACATCATCGATGATTCCTGCCAAACATCGATACTACCGAAGTTTTTAAAAATATTGATGGCATCGATGCCATCGATGTTTTTCCACCTCTATTGCCAATGAGTCCAAACAACAATTTTGTTGCAGCAAACAAAAACATCGAATCGGAAACGAAAACGAATAGTCCCCGTGTCGAAGAGCCACCGCCAAATCCCGCACCTCCACTCCAGCCAACCGAAGAGGCCAAAAACCACCAATGTTCCCAGTGCTGCCGCCGTTGCTGCTGCTCCTCCTCCTCCTCTTCTTTGCCAAGGGAACCCACCAAATCAATGTCGATTGCAACGAGCTGCAGATGATGGGCCAGTTCATGTGCCCGGATCCGGCGAGAGGTCAAATCGATCCAAAGACGCAGCAGCTGGCCGGATGCACCAAGGAGGGCCGCGCCCGCGTCTGGTGCATTGCCGCCAACGAGATCAATTGCACGGAGACGGGCAACGCCACCTTCAGTCGGGAGATACCCTGCAAGTGGACGTGGGTAAAGCTGGACTATCTTGTTTATCTTATCTTCAAAAGAATCTTCTTTCATACAGAAATGGCTATCACCTGGACACCACGCTGCTGCTCTCCGTCTTCCTGGGCATGTTCGGCGTGGATAGGTTCTACCTGGGCTACCCGGGCATCGGACTCCTTAAGTTCTGCACCCTCGGCGGCATGTTCCTGGGCCAGCTGATCGACATCGTGCTAATTGCCCTGCAGGTTGTGGGTCCGGCAGATGGATCCGCCTACGTGATACCCTACTACGGGGCCGGCATTCATATCGTGCGTAGCGATAATATGACCTACCGGCTGCCCAGGGACGACTGGTGATGGTTAAGGCGGCACAGTGCCTGGTGTACAGTAGATCACGTTAAGTCCTTGTTATACCTTAAGTACGGCTTATGACACTAACGATAAGCAACGACTGCGGAACTCCGATTCGGATCGAGACTCTGATTAGTGCATTACGTACCCTAGTTGATAAGTGTAAAGATTGTTGCCACCCTCCTTTGCGTAGCCTAAGTTGCATTGTTTAGTCTTAGTTACCACTGTACATGGTCCCTCATACAACTCTACAACTGTGTAATTGTATAGGCCGCATAGACAAATTGTTTGCCAATATAACTAACGATTTTAATCAGACTGCCGTGATCACCGTTCATATCCACAGCGGGCAGCGGGATTGCCTCTGCCAGTCACTCTTCTTGGCAATATAATTGGCCCACTTGTACATTGATCTCGCTAACATTTTCGGCGTGACAGAGATTGGGGAACAAAAGAACAGAAAAAACGACAACGCCGGCGACATCCCGCCTTGTTGACGTTGTTGACTCACCGGCGAAACGCCCAGACGCCAGAGCAAATCGACGGAGAACGCACAGACCGGGCAGTCCGAGGGCGAGATGGAAGGAGGATCTGTTCGGCAAACATTTGCTCTGCTGGCCCTTTCATCTGATTGGCATTTCCGAAATTATCAGCGGCGACGCATCAGCCGGCGAGTTGTTCGATTTTAATTGCATGGCCGGGGTCGCCTGTAATTCGATGCGTTTTAATTAGGCTCTCAATTAAGATCAAGTTGAGTTTTATCTTGAAATGGGTGAGTGTTGCGAGTAGCATGCAAATGGGATGATTGGTCGCTAAGGTTTTATGTCATGCTATGCCGTTTTTATTTTATTATAAGATCTGGTCTCGTTTTTCCTTAATTAATGGGGTACTTATATTTTCAAATTTATTTTATCCTTACGTTAAGGCTTTCGAGAAATGGGAAATGTTTTATGTTTTTTTTTAAACTTCCTTAAAATTCATATATAAATAAGGTAGTAAGTAATATATTTCTACATATTTGGAAACAAATTAATATTTTCTGTTTCTATATCCGTGTCTTATAGGTTCCGAGTAACTATTTTCAGAAAGATTTTTAAATTTGGGCTTGCAAAAGTAATTTTAAATCTCGGCAATTTAAAAGTTTACAAAATATTTTATTTTTATTTTATTTAAATGATTACCTAATACAAATAATGAACAATATTATTCCAAATCAGCGCCAAAATTTCAATAGGACGGTATTATTGTTGCAAATAAATTAAAATTTTGAAATATTTAATTAAATCATTAAAATCATTAGAAAATCGGTCAAGTTTCAAAGGAAGTTTTTGGTATTTGATAAGCCAGTGCTGCTCCAACTGCTTACAAAACAGTTTGAAAGCCACTCAGCTCCCGTAAAACTGTATAGAAATGCGGTATTGTTGAGCGTTGGCCCAGGCAACAGAAAGTAATACTACACAATTGCCACGCCCACATCCCAACCCCTCTTTAATTGGCAATGCACTGACCCCGGCCACACCCACCGCCCACTTTATTGTTATGTAGACTGGTGGACATGTCGAGAAGAGCTTTTCAATTAGCCCGGCCAGAAGTTAACAATGTGTTGTTGATATGTCGCAGTGGAATCCGTCCACTGGATACACCTAATTACAGAGTGAGAGTCGTGCCGCCTGTGTAAACATCAAGGGGGAGGGGGTCGCACAGGCGGCTGGGAGGGGCAGCACACAGACAAAAAATAAGATCACCTTGAACCCTATAATATACGATATAGCATATTTGTATATTTAATAACACTTTTTAAAGATCACTGATTTGATTTTTTTGGATACTTAATTTATTTCTCTATAAATAATTCGAAATTGTTTACATTAAAATAAAAAATAAATTAATTTTTCGATTTGAGTTATCACTATATTGTTATTTTTTCAGCCAATTTACAGGATATAAGGTTGGAGTTCAGAGTTTTTATAAGGGTTACAGGGACTAAAACTTAATAATTTGTATTAGTGATGATTAGTATAATTTAAAGTTTTAGTCATTCGGAATAACAGATTGATTTATATATTTTTATGTTTCAAAGAATTTATTTTTTGAAATTTTTATTTTTTCGGAGGCTAAGTACTATAACTAAGAGTAAAATAAGTTTACGTGTATGGTGTTTTTCTGTGCAGCACTTGATCTTTGTTCGCTTTTGGCTCCTTGATGCCATTCTTCGAGTGTTTTGGACATCGGGTACATCTGTACATATCGCTTACTGTTTCGCTTTCTTGGGGCAAATGAGCTCTGTGCCATTAGGGAAATTTGAGCAGCTTGTTTGTAAGCCGCCTGTTTGTTTTTGTTGTGCGCGTGGTAACCTTATGGAAAATGCCCAGATCGCCCAGATCCCCCAGGGATTGTTGACTCTCTGACTGGCCGCAAACTATTTCACAACTCCGACCGAGCCGGGGTTATTTAGATTTGGATTATCTCCACCTGACTCGCCTCCAGAAATAGCCACCAAAATAGCGACCGAGTCATTTATTGGCCAATAGCAAATATTTGCCAGTATCAAAATAGCATCGATTCTATAGGCAAACTGCTCCGTATCGCTCCGTAAAGTATATATAGCATATAGACTGTGGATAATCGGCCAAAAGGGGGTGGTGCTGGAGTGGAGACGCTCGACGGCTTTTTTTTATTTGCTCAGAGCTTAGAAGCTCAACGCTTAATTACGCTCAAGTGGCGTGGAAAATTGTGGGGCGGGATTCTCAGATTTCCACCACCGCCCACTCGACCCGACCCGCTGACGTTTATGCCAAATTGCTTTGCACTTTGTTTACAAGAGTGGAGAACCTATGCAAATAGCAAACGGCATTTAATGAAACGCAATTATTTAATTTTACAGACTGCGTCACGGTTCCCACCTGGCTGCATATTGCACCGCTCGCCTCATAAATAATGACTGGGCAACCTCTAGTGACAAAATCCATGGCCTGGGAAACCGCAGTCAGCCAGAGCTAAGCCCAAAGCCGAAAGCCCAAAGCCGAAACCAAACCATAATCCAAGCCGCGTTTCGTTCGTGATAACTGCAATTTTCCAGCCACAACTACAGATACAATGAGTGCATAAATCATCTCCAGCTCAGCTGCAACTCCGTGGCATTTTCCTAGCGTGCCGCGGCAGCTTTTCCAAAAAAAAACCACCGCATAAATGTCAAATGCCTGGCAGTTTGATTTGGCCGCGGGTTAAGTGTGAATTATCCCAGGGCCTCGGATCTCTCAGCACCATTTGTATGCTGTCTCATCTGCTGAATGCATTTAAGAGCTTTAAGTGCTATTATCGCATTCGAGACAAATGCCATAAGACACATTTCGGATTGCGAATGCAAGTTGCAGTCACGGCAGCTTTGGGATTATAATGAATGGATTCATTCATGGTGGGAAAGAAATTGCTTCCGATTTATGCTAAAATTGCAGAACGAAAGCTTTTAACCATGATGCAATTTTGGAAGTTCTTCAGGCATTTATCGATCCTTTCGATTCAGATTATTGATCAAATGTCTGATGGTAAATCAAGTCTTTATTGTTGAGTATTCTATAAATAATTAAAAGAAAATTTAAAAGCTAATTTAAAAAGTAAGAAAGTTCTTAAAAAATACGTTAATTTATTGCCTGGACATCAAATTTTAATCAAGAATAGATAAGTCTTTCTATGATGTCTACTTCAAAACACACTCTTAAAAACTTGATGATTTTATATAAATCTGATTTCATATTTCTAACCAAAAGAATTATTCATTGATATTGCTTAGGATTGTGAAATTACTATGAATACTACTTATTACTGACACACTTTCATTTTTTTTTATAAGTACTCTTAGTATAAGTACTCTATTAAGGAATTATTTTCACCTGACTTTCGTTGATTCCAAAGTCTGCCAATTTCACATGACAGTTACTGATCTAATCAGCCCTGTTCGCCTACATTTGAACTTCAATTCATTCATGGTTCGGGTGACAAGTAATCTAATCGATACTACGACCGGGGAATGTTGTTATCAAATGGAGAAAAGACCCTCCGTGATTCCCAAGGCACGCGGAGCTGTCAAAACAAAGAAGTCGAGGCAGACAGCGCGGAATGCCAGTTGACAAATTCTAATTGGCAAAAGTTCCCGGAATCGAATCGTATTGAATTGAGCTGCTCACTACTAAGGTGTGTTGATGCGCTGGGCGGTGGGGGCTCTTCTCATGTTCGCCTTGTTAACACTTTGCCACCGCCAAGGTGTTCATTTCGCTGAGGAATGTGTGAATGTAGATTGAAATTCGATTTCAATTGCAATTTTTGAGGGTTGCGCCTTTGAAGTCGATTGAATATGATTGTAACCGCAGCACCAAATTCACGGACAAAGCTAAACATAGCATTGTATTTATATTTCTGAAATCCAATTTATTCTGCTCATTAGTAGATAAAATGTACCCACAAAAGAACAACGATGCTCTACAATTGAAATCACTTCAATCATATCACAGCTAATAATAACATTTTGACTATTAAAATCATCGAATATCCTAGGAACCTGGTTTATTTTGTTAGCCCTATATGTACATAGCTATTTTAAGTAGATGCTATTTTACAACAATATATAAATTACATTGTAACATATAAATAACTAAAATTATTTAGAGACTTTAAAATTCTATAATTTTTAATTTAATATCCAAGATAACATTTAATAAAATACTTTGAAGCTCATTAATGCGGTAAGCCCCAAATGGACATACCAATTTTAAGTAGATGCTTTTTTAAAACAATATTTAAATTATATTGTAACATTATTATAAAAAATTCAAATTGTAAAGTGAATGGTTTAATAACTTTAGAATTCATGGAATTGTCAGTTGTTTTGCAGAAACTAAAAATATCGTGTTACCTATTTTAGTCAACACAACATGCTCGTAAAAGAAAATCTTCTGTATGTTTAACAAATTTAAAGGAATATATATTTGATAGTCAAAATATTACTACGATTTTTTATTCAAAATAAATAAATAAATAAATTATACAAGCAAGTCGATAAAATATGTTGTTAGTGTCTTCCCCGGTGCAAATAATTAGCGCCAAGCAACGAGCGTTTGTCTGCAGCCCCCAACCCCTTCACCAATCAATCCCCCGGTTCGATTTAGCCAGAAAAATCGGAGCAAAGTGCGAGCCCCCAAAAAACCAAGCCAAGAAGGCCCCAATCCTCTGCCGCTGCGCTGCTGCAGCGCTGCTTACACTTCGGCTCGGCGGCACGAGGGCCAGCCCGAGCGAACAGCAAGTGCCGAGCAAGTCGAGCAGGT